CCTTCACGCTATAATGTAAGAAACTTCTCTTCTATAGACTTTCATAGCCCTTCTAGGACCATATTTCCCACTCTCTCTTATCCACAGCCCAAGCAATGTACTTCAGGCTTTCCTATTGTTACCTTTTTTCCCAATGTGGAAATGAAACTCAAGATAATTTTAGTAAAGAGGTAATATAAAAAAGGATCTTTATTTGAAGGCCTTGAGAAGCAGTTATGGAATGATGTCCATGAAAGCCCACCCTGCACCCCCCCAGGAGTGAGTACATTTTTATAGGTTTTAGGAAATTAGCATAATTGATAAAAAGCACCATTTAGGAGGACAAGTGGTAATGCAATTCCCCCCCAGGTTAAGCCCCTTCTCAGGAGTCCCCTCCTTGGTACTTGTTGTACTTTGTCCATGAAAATGTATCTCAAAGAGCTCTTCTCAGCCTTGATTCCCAGGAAGAACCAAAAATGGATAGGGGTCTTGTCAATCTCCCAGGGCTTGTAGCTCTGGAATTTGTTTTTTCTTTCTGCCTAGGGAAAGGCCATGGAAGAATATTGGGAAAACTAGCTACTAATACAATAGGCTATAGAGCTACAAATATGTGAAAAGAATACAGAGAACATATAAAATAAAAAAAGGCAAAACCCAAATGGCATCACTATTATTCCCACCAAGTTGTTACCGCAGAATGACCTTTGCTGCTGCTGGCAGTGGGATCACACAGGCAACTTTGCCCCTTACTCTAAGGGTGATAGAACTTCATTGCACCTACACTGCTGAGAAACACCAAACTTGCTGCTTACATGTGTAGCAATGTTTTCCCTCAAATATCTGTTATTGAGAAGAAAGACATTTCAAATAGGAGCTGTAAGAGTGACAGCCTCAAAGAAATTGCAGTGATGGGAGAAGTATCATCTTTACACAGATGTATGAATACATATATAAACACTGTATTGTACTTAGATATATAAAAGTAATGCTGAAAATCAAAACCAGACAGCAGTTCAGTATACTTAATAACCAGCAAATTATCATTTGAAGAAAACAGAAGAACACTCAGAATGGAGAGAAGATTCACAAATCCCACACAACCAGAAAGTCTGTACTCAAAAGTAGATGTACTCCTTCAAGGAGGAGGCTGTACAAGATCCCTATTTGTCTACCAAATCAATAACCACATAACTTACTGCAGAAAATAGCATCAAGTGCTAAGAGTAAGGAAAAGTGGGGCGGTGCAAGGTTGTGTTGCTCCTGGACTATACTGTTGGTGACAAAAGTAGGTATTGTATAAGGCTGGTGTAGATATAGCCAGTATATGAAAAAGGGAAATGCTTAGATGCATTCAAAACTAACATACATTCAGGGCTGCATCAGCACTGAGTATTGTTATCATTCATGCTTTCTACTTCCAATACAATGTCTGCATATTTCTTGTATACAAGGCCTGGTGGAAGAGAGAATTCAAATGCGATACACAGCAGTTTGGCTGTCTGAGTCAGTCTGATTAGACTTTCATATATTCTGGAAGATTTACAAATGGATTGTGTGACTTTATTTTGGAAAACATCCTTGTCTACATGACAATCAGCCAATCCAAAGCTGCTGCCCTTACAAGGACACTTGTCCTGAGCATAGAAAGGTGAAAAAATATTGACAACACTGTTCAAAATCTTTCAGCTGCTCCAAAGCAGGAAAACAGCCTGGAGGTTTTCAAGAACCTCAGCTAAATAAATATTAAACACCTATTCTGTTGGCTTTGAAAATAGATTCAGTTATGAAAACTTAACCAGAATCAAACATTCACCTTTGCAATTTTTTCTGTATCTCCCTCACTGTGCTATCTGTATTCTTACAATGTAATTCAAAGTGTTTCTGTAGTCTTCACATGTCATGTAACTTTACATTCTCTTCATATCAGCAGCAACTGACAAGATCTGGGACCTTTACATCTGTCCCCAAGTGCCACAAGGAAGGCAGCGAAGACCTTCAATATCAAGTTCCCTGCTGCCCTGCTGTTGGGAGCCTGGTATCAGTGAGAGCCACTGAGCTGTTCTCCAGTTCCTTTTCCTGTCAAGGCCATGGTCACAACTGTGTCACCTCACTGCTGCAGCCACAAAGGTTTGCCTTGTGCCAAGTTTTCCTGTGGAAGCATTTATTCCTTGCTTCATCACAATCTTTCCAAATCTTGCAAGGAAATAGTGCCTTGCTCCCACTTTTCTTAATGATTACATGTTTCTTGCCCTTTGTTCACCTGTCTTGGCTCTGGATGCATGTTCTGGGTGTTGAGAGGTGCCCAATGAGGCATACTGCACCTGCCCATGGACTGGGGTCTGGGGGCAGTGAGAGTTCCCTGGGGGGAACAGGGTAGGCCGGGGGATGCCAGGAACAGCCCCTGTCTGGACACAGGGACAAGAATGGTAGCAGAAGCTAGTCTTTCTTGCAACCATGGCATACTGAAATCTACACTATCTCCTGACTTTGCTTGGCCTCTCACTGAAGAATTTTTGTACATTGTATGAACTGTTCTACACGATGCACTCCACAAGCTTCTTCCTCATCTAGCACAAAGATAACTGGAATAAAAGAATTTTAGTAAGGCTGAGGGAACTCCATGCCTTAATTCATCAATTAATGAATTTCCTTAATTTAACTTACATGTACCCTCTGTTACTTGTCCAGCTGAAATCTGTGCATTTGTAATTCATATTCTTATATTACTAACCAGGGTGGTCTAAATAAAAATAGCTTCCATTTAGAGCTCTATCCCAGACTTTGTGATGCTATCCCCCTGAACCAGCAGAATTGTTACTGCAGACAGGTGATGGAACATGATCATGGAACTTACCTGAGTGGAAACCATCCTGGCAAAGAAATAAACAAATTAGTATTAATCCAAACTAGTTCTCCGTCAGCAGCAAGAAACATTTGCCAACACAGAGGAAATAACAGCTTGAACTGGGAACAGGGAGTAGAACTACCTTTTCTCTTCTGGCAACAGTACCTGTTGAAGCCTTTATAAAACTTGGCTTTTTTTTTTATTCAACAAGGCTTACAATGTTAGATGCACTAGACAAGTGGTTGAATGCCTTCTTGAAGAAGCCCACAGAAGAGAACCCTATCAGAGGAAAATCAGATGAATGATGTTTTCTCATTAATTTATGATCAATATTTTATACTTCTTTGTGTTGGTTGTTTGGGGATTTTTTAAATGGAAGTTTTCAATCTGCTTCCCAATGATCAATGTGATGCAACCCAGGGCTAAACCATGACTTGGTTGAAGAGACTGAAGGGAAAACTGGTGTTACAGAGGGTTGAAGAGACTGAAGGGAAAACTGGTGTTACAGAGGGTACAACTGACAACAGTAACTTCTGCTAGAAGCTTCCTTTCTGAACTCCTTGCCTCATCAGCCTGAAGGAAGCATGGAAAGAAAATTACCCTAGCTGTGGGGAGAAATAAACAGTGAAACCCCACTATTATATCACTGAAGGAAGTTCACAAAGAAATACCTACACTTGAGTTTAAAATGTTCTTCTAAGTTCTCCACCAATTTAGAAACATCTCTTTAATGCTCCTTTCAACTTTCCCCATCCCATCTTAACTTCATCTTAAAATCACACCTATCAGCTGCATTTGAAGACAATACATAACACTTTAACAAAACTGTTAAGGATATTTTGCAGACTTCTTGGAGACTCAGTTCAACTCCAAGTGATACCAGGAAGATCTATCAGTGTTATCAGTGATTTCTTTAAAAGGAGAACAGTGTGAGACTGCAAGATCCTCAAGTGTAAATGAGAAGCACTTAGAGCAATGAATACTGCAGGGGTGTGGAACAGTCTGTCATCAATATAAGGTAAGATTTAGCCCTAATTGTGTGTAAAGTTGCTCTCCAGAAAGTGCAACAATTTAAATACAAAATGATTGATTTACTTTATGACTACAGAGACACATTTTCTCTTGTTCTCTTAGGGAGAAAAACAAACAAACAAGTATTTTTCAAAAAATGTGACTTCCAGTTCCACTGGTCAAAGTTTTTTCCATAATTTATCATGCAAGGGGAAATACTACAGATTATATGGGTATCCAACACACACAGGGATTTAACAAACACCCAGCACATATCTTCAGTACCCATGACACCTGCAGAGTGTTGTAAAAATGTAATATCTTTCTAGGGTTAAAGTTCATTAAAAGTCCTTTTTCTTTATTAAACTGCTGCTCTGCTCTTCTGCCTATTCATAGATATCATAGTATATCATACTATAAAATAGGACTGTATCTTGATAATGATGCCTAGAGAAGGGAGCTTCCCAAGCATGGATAAAAATGTTTTAAAACATTTTCTGTACTTCTGAAAATTATTAGAAAGTATTTCCATTACAAGCTTATAAATAAAATTAATTTACTTAAAAAAACCCCAACAAACAACATATAAAATTTCCTCCATTTGGTAATGAAACTTCTTCCTCTCAGTTTCCTTCCTAAAAAATGGCAAAGCCAAAAAGGCATTATCCATTGAAACCAAATTCAGGGAAGTTGTATATAGTGTGATCTGCACTGAAATTTCTGCCTTTAGGTGGGTACAGCATAAAACAAGTTAATAGCACAACCATACCCTTTTCAAATGCATGGAGATATTACCAGTCAGGCGAAAGGCAGATAAAAAAACTGTACCAAAGAGAAAAGCACTGGTCTAAATCCCTTCCCTTATACCTGGGTGAACAACAAAATGATCTATCGCCTCATTTAAAAAGCCAAGTACTTAAACCCAAGAAAATTAGTATTTAAAGACCCTATAAATCTTAGGCTGCCTACATCATAGATGCACCATTATTTCTAGGTGTAAAAAAAGTCAACTTCATCATAACAAAACAGCCTTCACTACAAAAATAAGAATAAACACTATTCTATATGTAAACATAGCATAAAAAAAGCTGTGCAAAAAAATAAGCATGAAAGCATGCAACACTGGCTGAAAAAAATAAAGAGAAATGTAAATAATTTCTGTCCATACCAATATGTCCATACCAATATGTCTATACCACAGCAGACACCAGCCACAAAAACCTGTGGTGTCCTCCCAGGGTCCTCCAAACCACCTCCAAGTTTCTGCTTCATGGAAAGTGGCTGCCACAGGACAGGTGCTACATCCCAGGGACACCACACACTGCTGTAAAAAACTCTGTGGTTTCCCTTACCATTTGGCAGAATTTTTAGGTTGAAAAACCCATGCCACTGAGCACACAAAGATGCTTGATCACTCAAGGAGAGACTTTCTTACTGCAAACTATTCAAATCCTGCTCCAAAAATCATCATTTTCTCCTTGCTCTTTCCACTGTCCTATTGTTTCTCATCGAAACAAAATTTCATATGCCTCTTGTGAGTAGCTAATCTATTCTTACCTAGCAGAGTAAGAGAGTAGTGCTGATGGCAGCTGAAGACCTCAGATCAAAAGAATACACAAATTTTAAATGTTAAATTGAGCAGAAATGAGCTAAACTGAGAGAGAGCAACCTCAGCACTGACTACCATTTGTGCACCAGGCTTCCTCTGGGTAGTGTGTACTGGTCTGAATGCAAACCAATAAGAGATTCAAAGTCAGAGCTATAATTAAATTGGAAAAGTAAAATAAATGCAATAGTATAGGAACACTGATAGAGTCAGGATACAGCCTGACAGCCAGTTGGTCAGGATGGTGGAAGCAGTCCAATTAAATGGCAGCTGCAGTCCTGTTGAAGTGATAGATGTGGTTCTCTTGAAGCAATGATCCTGTAGAAGGGTTGGATCTTCCTCTGAAGGTCCAGTGGTGGATGCAGCTCTTGTCCTCTGGGAATCTAGTGGAGAAAGGCTGCCCATGGTGTTCCAAACTTCAGATTACATCCAGGTAGGAATGCTTGGCTCCTACCTCTGGGCAGAGCATCTCACAGTGGGATGATGTAATTTTATCAGTCATGCAGTGAGACTCAATGGCCCATTAACAGAAGATATCCCTGCAGAGGAAGTTATGAGGGATGTGTCATGGAAGAGATAAGAACACTGCCCCACCTGGTTTTAACAGATGGTGGCAGAATACATACTTTTGGTTACATCATGCATTGCAAACTAAGACAGTAGTACTAAACTGCACAGCCTGCCTTCTGCAGCTTTCTTTTTGTTTAGTATTTCTAGGGAACAATTTCAATTTCTATCCATCTGAAGTATCACTAAAGTACTTAGCAAGAAAATTTATGTATGAGGAATGTTGTGGCTTTAAATCTACTTGAACGCTGGGAAAATCTTACTCAAAGTACAGATTTTTTCCAAATAGACTACAATTTACAATAGTAGTAATTGTAGTTACAATTGTAGTCCAGTCATAGAGTACAATTTACAGATATCTCAAACAGTCAAAGCTGTAAATTAAATCAATTATTGCTGTCCCTAAATATATGAAATAACTGAATAATACTAACTGGTGAAAAAAACAAACAAACAAAAAACAATAACAGTCAAAACGTGCTAAGAGATATCTCTTTCATCACACCATTTGTCTTTCTCTCTCTTCAAGATCTATGTTCCTTAACTCACTAACAAAACATTAGACATTAGTCTAATTGGTCATTAGACAGCATAGCCTGGCACAGGGGAGAACAAATCTCACCTTACCTGACAGCTACAAAGAGTAGGTGATAGGCACAAAAGCTGCAATCAAAAATGAAAATATATTGTTTTTAGATGCAATATGGCTCAAAAGCATGAGTGTTGCACATCTCCAGCACAAATTATCCAGAAACTTGGATAATTCCAATGGATTATCCACCCATGGATAAATACACCAACACAAAGCCCACAGATGATACCCATGGTTACTTAGAACCTTCAAGTATTCCAAGAAGAATTAACTCTAGACTCCTCAAACTCTCAATTCTTTCAATAACACTTTCATCAATATTTTTTTTTCAGAAAAATGTTTCATTTGCTCCCTCTACCCCAGTAATAAGCGAGGCTTAAAGGTATTTGGTTTGATGACTCTGGGGCTGATTCTGTGGATGTTTAAGTAGGTTACTGTGGGAAAAATATTCTCAGACAACAGAAAAAATATTGACTACTATGTAAAACTTGAGTTTTAAGACTTAGAGATATCAAAACCAATTTACTAAATATATATCACAATTTCTGAAAAGTTAAATGAGGACAAAAATAAACATTCATTTGTAAAAAAGCTTAACAGTTTGATTATTTTAAAAGCTTGTTACCTTTTAAAAATCTATTTATTTGGCTTTGGATGAGATTTTCCTTAATACTGAATGAAAAATCCCCAATTCATTTCTTAGCTATCTCTTAAGCTCAGTAATTCACTTTCCCTATATATTACTTTGTTCAACTGCTTCTTCTATTAAAAGCAAAAATTCAGTTCCTTAGGGAAAAATACCATTATGCCAACCTTTGATTTCCAGGGAAAAAGAAAAAAGTCAAAGAGATACATCAGAATCAATTATTTCTATAATTGACTCGTGTTTTAACTTGTCATTACCCAGTCCCCTTGGACTAGACATTATTTTAAATCAGTACAAAGAGAAAACAAAATAACCTTGGTAGTGTTTCAACATTTTGAAACCTGCATGGCTTTTTGCATTTGTGGTCTATAGCATAGTAATAGACAGAAGCTGAATGCAGACTGTATCTGCTGGTTAAAAGTCCCCAGAAACAGGCAAGGCTAGAAATTTTCTAGAAGACCTTAAACAGTAACTAGCACTGTGGTGGCAGGAACCTCTTTCTGGCTTATATATTCCTAAACTGGGGACTGTTGGCTTCAAAGGTCTTCAAAGATTGGACCCGATGATTTTGGAGCTCTTTTCCAACCCCAAAGATTCTATAATTCTGTTCCATTGCCTCACAAGAGGGAAAGATACAAGTTAAGCAAGACTACCCCCAAAATTTGTGGATGCTGAAAGAGTATTTGCAGGCATATCACTATCTCTGCAGTGGAACAAAGACACGGAAGGTTCCTGCTTTCCAAATGGACCATACAAGCCCATCTCTCAAGGAAAAGATTCTTTAGCGAGCATTAGATTAGATAAGATTAATAAGATTAGACAGAAAAGATTCTTTAGGGCTGTAACTAGCTTTCTGCAAATATCAGGTAAAGAACTAATAGTCTCCATTAAGTCAAATTCCAGACACTTACGTTAAAACCAGCTTTGGAAGGGAACAGGAACAGGGGGACTTGTGGCAAGGCTCAGTTCTGAAATGAAGACATGAATCTAAATGCCTATCTGTAGAAGACTGTACAACCAAAGGAGATACAGTCAGTATCACTGGTGGTTCCTGACCTGACATTTAGCATGTCTCACCTAGAACTGAAGTATACACTCTATGAAAGCTCATAGTCAACAAGAGCTCATGCACAAAGAATACAGGCAGAGGCCCAGATCCTTAGCTCTTGAGAGCATTAATGTTATTTAAAGCATTAAAAGACAGAGTTCAACCATGTGGTAAATGGCTCAGGCAACCCCAGCAAGTGGCATTTTCACAGACCTGTTTACCATCACATGAATCAGGGTTAGAACCAGTGGAACCCCTGTGGCATAAGATAGGACAAAAGCACTCTGAGAAAGAAGACAGATTAACTCTGTATTACCAGAGAGGCTCAATTTATCCCATAGAAACAAGGTATGAAGAACAAAGAAATGCAGTATGTTATGCCTGGACCTCTCCCATTGGCTAATATTCATACAGCCCCACAATCCAAAGTACTTTTGAGTAAATCTCAATGTATGAGGAAGCTCAACATTATCCATCTTCCTTTGATCTTTATTAACACCAGCCTATGCCAGGAGCACAGAAGTAATACAGCTGGCCCTCTGTGAGCCTGGATTCACCAGGAATCTTGCTGGGCAAAGCCAAGTTGGTGGCAAGGAATAACGGTGCAGAAGATGAGAGAGCAGAAGAAAAACAGAGGCTGTTAGACCATTAACTATGTTAAAGGTTTAGAGTTCTTGGAAATAGTGTAGAGGATACAAGATCTGCCAAACCTGTTTACTTGGGGTGTGAGACTAGCAGTGGTCAGACTTACAGACTGCTCTAGCCAAAGGAAGTTAGGAAATGAGTGTCTAAGGAAAAGCTGGGTTAGGAACAGAACTAGCTAGGATACATAAAATGAAAAATGCCATTGTAATAGATATTCATGGGGAAGTAGACTGACAAAAGGAATCATTGCCCTTCTTCCTCCTCGGAGTTTTATGAGTGTATCATAAACACTCATAACAAGCAGCCATGTTTCATGAAAGACATAAGAGTTCAACAACTTTTATTCAACTGATTGCAAAGTATTTGATGCTTCTGGAAGTTTGGACCGGACCATGACAGCTAAGATATTTTTGTGTATTGAGAAGTCTACTCCTGATGTAGCATGTCTTCAACTTAATGAATATATAAAGTCTGCTTTATGTAATTTAAAAAAAACACCCTCATAAGTTCTGTGGTTAGTAACTAAGACACAATAAAAATTACAGAAACAAATGAAAATTCATAATGAAATGCTCATCTGCCTTGGCCACTAGGTTAAATCACCAGCTATCCAGAGCACAATGGCTTGAGTTTTTTGGCTCAGAACTGGCAGCAAATGCTGCCTAGAAAATGGTGGTTTCTGTTGATTTCCCCCCAGCTTCCTTGAGTCAATAGCAGATGGATTTTCAGTTTTCTCACAAAGACTATAGGCTTAGAATAACAACTCTTACATTTCCAAAAGAGGTAATGGAAAGCAACGAAAACAATAAAGAAAAACCCACACAAACATTCTGGCCATCTGGCCACTGAAAGGCAGATTGAAGCTCCACAGAGGCTCTTGTAATGTGCCCACACTCACACCATGTAAGAATCAGGTGCTGTATTTCTACCATCTATCAGTTGTAGATTACAACATAACCTGATATTCATGAAGAAATAGTTTTCTCAAAAATATCAATAAACCTGATGGCTTCCTAAAAGTTTATGGAGATATGGGCAAGACGATTGGTTTCTGCAATGAGGAAAAGCTTACATGTGAAAAATAGTTCAAGTAATTAGTATTTTTTAAATTAAGATGGTTATTGCTGGAAAGAGCAGAAAACTCGGGACAAACTAATCTTTTGCTTGAAGACAAGGAGAGCAGAATTTACATGACAGCCAGAGAATGAGAAAAACTGACAATCTGACCTATTTTGCTACCAAGACTGAGAGGAACGGTGCTGTAAGCACTTTTGGACTGTGAAGATATGTTACTATGACAAAATATTCCACTCTTTCAGAACAATATTCCCCTTAAAACTGTATTTGTGTGTATATTTGGTGTATTTGTAAATACGAATTAGGGCTAATGACCCCACTTTGTAGTGAGTAATTACTATTACAATGATGATAAAGTAGAGTTCTAATAATGTAAACAAGAATCTTGACAACAGCATCAAAGAACTCTTTTCACAGACATTTTTCCAACTGAGCTAGCAGAAACTAAACTGAACAGATATATCCCTGACTTGGAATTTTAACTTGGAACTGTGACTTCTTTGGACAAATCTGTGATCTCTATTTAGTGATTTTATTTATGAGGAATGTTTTACTGAAATTTTACCCCCTTCCCCAATATAGCAAAGAATGCAGTAAAATGCTACCTTTTCATTTCCTTTTCCTGATTTTCTAAAAGAAAAATTTAAACACCTCCACAAAAAAATGAATGGAAGCATTTAGATTAATTTTGGACAAAGCTTGTCAACTTGTCCTCAATTTGTAATTTTTGTCCTTCTTTGCCAACAAAAACTTTCCAAACTAATATGAAATTTTCATTTTTAGAATATTTCAGGGAAGAAACCATTAATAATTTGCATAGATCCTCTACAGTACTGACCTTCTATAACATGTTGTGGAGATCTGTCTTCTCAGGGAAATGGGTGTATGTCTTCCAGACCTCTTTGATGCCTGGAGATGAACCTTTCTTATGCATCATACCTGCAAATCCTCTGTTAATGTTCTAATTACATTAAACAGCCACTTTTGGCCATTGTGCTGGATATGAGCACAACACATCAGAAATAGTTTATGGCAAGGATTCTTGTTCCTTCCATGAGTATTAAAAAATGGGCGTTCTGATACATTTTTCAGCATCCTCCTCACTGGGGATAACACCTCTGTTTGAGGCACCTTGATTTTATCAGAATTGGAAAAAATAAACTGAAAATACAGGAAGGAGGTTTAAGGTCTAACTTTATATAAATTAATAGATTAACATCTGGAGTCAATACGTCTTATAGACCACTAGGAGAATTTTTTTCCTTTTTTACCTTTATTAATCAAAAAGTTTATTTTTAATGCAAACATTAATCCTTTTTTAAGAATTGCATTTACTATTATTTCCATCAACTTTCAAATTTCTAAGTCAGTTGGTATTTTGAAGTGCAGCTTTTCTAAAAGATTTCCTACACGACCTCTGACTTTGCAACTGTGATTTTTGTTGTTTAGGACATATTTGGTTTTGTTATTTAAGAAAAAGCTCCATTTCATTTCAACTCATATTCTTTCCCACTGAGGATCAAGAGACAACATGGTATTTTGAGGGGCTAATTAAGAGACTGGTGGTGACATTTTAGCAAATCCAATTCCCTGCTGGGAAATATTAATTCTCTCTTTTATAATTTTTGGGCAAGACATAAAAAGTCAGGGAAACAAAGCTTTTTAAACAGTTATTTTGAGGCACTTGGGGTTTTAATAGTTGATAGGTAAATACCGCAAACCAGAGACAATGACAGAAGAAAAACCTCTAACAAAACCCTAACCCTGGCTCAACACCAAGTTTGTCATCTGGTACCTGCCAACAGAAATAGATGCCAATCCCATATTACCACGCAGGGGTGAATATTTCAAATCATCAAGTTGTTTAGCTTTGTGTGGATTAGGAGTCCTATAAAACAGAACAGCCATGTTTCCAGTTAAAATACTTCATAGGAATTCCTCAGAAACCTTCCTAGGATCTGCACAAACATAAAAAATATCAATGGGGAAATGCCTGGAATCCCATTAAGTGACGCTGGAAAACTCCTTATTCAAAGAGCATTTTGCAAATGGACTTTCTCTTCAGCACTGTGTCTTACAATAAATAAGAGTTGACAGAAAAAGCAATTAAAAAGCTACACTTCTGGAACAACAAAATGTGCAAACAACGGAGAAAATATTTAAATATTTTAAGTATTTAAAATTTAAATTAATTTTTTAAAAAATAAATTAAATTTAAAATTTAATTTAAATTAATTAAAATAATTTAAATAAAAATGTAAAAAATTAAATAAAAATTAATTTTTAAAAAGAATACATTTTTATTTTCCTGCTTTTTACATTTCAGCATGATAGCAGTATTGGAGTTTCCTGGTTCTTTTCAGCAAACTCCACGTGAAGTGCCTCACCCTTGGTAAGAGCAGCCAGCCTGTCACAGCCTCATCCCTTCGGCGGCCGTGCTGATGCAATCACACGGGCAGTGACCTTTTCAGCTCAAATCGAGTGTGTCTTGGCAGGGCAGCGCTGGATTCTTGTTCTCTGCCCCCCACTGGGACAGAATCACCATCTTTATTTTCAGCATTTAGGCCGAAAAGGGCTGGGTAGAGCCCTTTGTCTCCGGGTGACTTCCACCCTGTCGCTGAGGTATTTCCGATGATCATCCCAACCAGCCACCGTGCAGCAGGTTTCTGCACCATGCGTTCCTACAGGTCTAGTGCACACACTAGTGCACTGCTTATAGTTAACATCCTGATTGTGATTAATTAGAATAATTAATTAAAAATTAACGAGAAAAGTGAACTAGTGGCAGGGAAGAGGGAGGGCTGCACAGCAGGATAGCCCGTGACAACTCAGAGCACGGCAGCCCCTCAGCCGCCCTGAGGCGCCTCCCATGCTGGAAATGACGAATTATGTAATTTAGAACCAGTGAGCATTAATCTGACAAAAATGTATAAATAAGTGAGGAGGCTTTTTTTATCAGCTTCTGTGTGGAGGCCGAAATTTTGTAGAGCACGCACAGAAGGATCCTGGCCAAGGATAAAGTAATGCCTGACTAAAAGACGACGTTAGGGGTTTATTTCTCCCGACGATTTCGAGACGGTTTGGTAAGACCGCGTCTCGCACCGGAAGTCACGTGATCCCCCGCGCTGCACACAC